TCTACTCTGTATTCCACTTCGGTTTCCCATCATGGCAACACTAGTCTAGAAAACTCTTCAAGGCGACAAACAAGCAGTCTAGAGCTCGCCTCATTAGTTTCCCGTCTCTCACGGATCACTGTCCTTTACTCCCTGATGCTGTGTACTATATTCTGGTTTTCATTTCGTTTTGTTTACTGGTTGTTTCAGGCAGGATGGTAAATCTGATCCCTGTTATTCCACCTTTGTGGAGAGCTACTACTGAAATGGAACCTCAAGAAATATTCAGTGAAATCAAAGCACATTATTTTCACACATAAATCCAATTGAAAGACATGTGTTTGAAGGTATCTATCTGCTTTAACCATTTTCAGTGTTCTTCATCCCTTCCATCTGGTGTCAGAGGTTCTCCAGGCTCTCCCCCCTTCACTGTAATGCTTTTAAAGGTAGAGGAAAACAATTATATCCCCAATAAAACACAGGAAGGTTCTATAGATCCTCGTCACCTTTCTATTGTGTGTCAACACTAGATTTCTGTTGAATGGTCTTTTGTTACTATTTAACAAAGAAAAGTCAGTACGCTTAGGGAGGAACTTCTCATATATCCACGGATTATTTTAGAAAGAAGTTCAAAGTCTGACCTCCCCTCCAACAAAGCAAGCTAATGTCAGCAACTTAAAAATACTGCTGCTGCCCAATTACCTGAAAGAAAAGGAGGAAACATTATTTTCCCCGTGAATACAACTTTTACCAGGTCAATTCAGTAAGCACTGCTTTTAATTTACAATTTGGGAAGATCTGAAGCAAAATAATAATAAAAAAGAAGTTATCTACTTTAGGATCATAGTTAAAATTATTATTTTAGAAAAGAAATTACAGTATATAAATTTTTGAAGGAAAAAAAACACTAATCTCTGCTATAATATTTGTATAAACTATTCCCAAGATTACTTATGACTGAGGAAAAACATTTTTTGATAATAAATTCTCAACTTTTACCACTATTGAGCTATATACCAAGATTAGACTGCCCTCTTACATCCACTTGGCACATATAAATTAATCGATTTTGCTGATATTTAACTTTTTAAAAAACTGACACGAAAATCAGCAATTCCTACGGCTCAACCTAATAACAAAGAGTTCTCCCTGCCTCCACAGGGACCTCTGCAAGGAGCATCTAGTATGATTCAATGACACACCCAATTCCTCAATTTTATAGCATTCGATTCAATTAGTATAGGTAGGAAATGTGACTACAGTTACAAATGCAAAATTTGGCATTTTTACTTCCTTCATTTTAAAGTTAGGTAAGACAGAAAAAAATAAATAAAAAACAAACAAACAAACAAACAAACAAACAAAAAAGAATAATAAAGTTAGGTAAGGTATTTAGTGTTTCAGGAAGGCTCTCTTTCCTTTCCCTGCCCTGCCAGCCACCCTTTGCCACAGACGCAGAACTGTTTATCCATGAGCAGTGTATCTGTTACGATTACAGGACTGGGAGCGGACTGGGGATTCCTTGCTAAACATCCTGCTCTCTCTTTCCCTTTTCCATTCCCATCATTCTTTGTCTATGACTATTATTATAATTTCTGGAGTTTGCACAAGTCTGCTTCACTGGATCCACAGACTCAAATGCAACCAAAGAAAATGATTGCAACGTTTGTGAAGGTAACATTCGAGTTTTACCCCAAATGGTTATATTTGAAAATACTTTTAGTAATATAGTTATCAATCGTCTTCAAGTTAGGAAAGAAGAAGTGATTTTCAATATGGTTTAAGTAAAACAAAAAACTTCCCAGCATCAGCTATGGGATACTTGTGTTTCAGGAGGTCACATTGTTTCAACAGGCTTTAGTAATTAGCACTGGAGAGAAGGCAAGAAGGTAGTAAGCAAGTTTCCTTAATGAGGCTCTACTTGCATGAAAGGCTCAGTAGATGGGCAGGTAAAGGCATTCTCTCTAAACTGGCTCCAGCATTGCTTTTACCAATTGTATTCCAGGCTTTCATGGCTCTGATGCAGATGTCCATGTTTTGTATATTTAATTGCTTCAATCATGTACTACACTGGCATGTTCAGGACTCTCTCTCAATCAAATAGCCTTTCTTTATGTAAGAAAACATGACTTCAAAATCCAGATGAATTCTGGACTCTCAATCAAATGGCCTTTCTTTATTTAAGAAAACATGACTAAAATCCAGATGAATTCTGTGTCTCTGCTCTCAATGTAAAGTAACAGTATAATAATTATTACGAAATTACCTGTCTTTTAGGTATTTTTTTGACCTATTAGATTACATCTGTAGTAACAGTTCACAAGAAAAAGCATATTAATTCTGGTCCATCACTTAAATAAAGAGATTTTACACCATGGTCAAATCAGGTGCCCAGGACAGGTATTCCATTATAAGGCCCGGAAATCTACTATTTGAAAATATGCACTTTTGAGATAAGAAACAAAGATACAGAATGATGTTTAAATGTATATACTATTTCACTATGTTAAAAATGTGAGTATATTTATATCATTCTTCAAATACATTGCTTAAGATTTACAAAATATTTTGACTGCACAGAGATGTTTATGTTTATTAGTATATACCTAATTAGGGGCAACCTTGAGGCCAGGGGCAGCCACCATGTGAAAAAAATTCCTGCCCTCTTATCTTCTCTCAGCAGCCCCAGGAACAGATTAAAAGGTCCATAACTTTTTAAAATATTATGGCGTGCTCATTTTATGTCATCATGCCATTATTCTCTCTGTGAATACAACTTTCCCAGGTCAATTCAGTAAGCATTGAATGTATCAAGCTATTGAGAAATGGTTTGGAACTAGAACCCAGGCCTTTTCATCCTTATCCTATTGCTAGCCCATCTGATAGTCAAACGGTCCAACATGAAATGCATTATCTTATATTTTTTAATTAGAAACCATAGAATCATCAGTGACTACATTCTTTCAAATTATCTCTAATTTCTTTCTATTCCAACTCTGCTCTGTCTCACAGATTTGTCCTGTCTTCTCTGTAATACAGCCTTAATTAGAGCCCTCTCATCCTGCTCCAGGATCAGCCGCCCCACCCCCCACCCCCCACCCCCCAGCTCTTCTGAACCACCTATCACAAGACTGCAGAGTGATCTTCCTAAAATGCAGTCTGATGGGGCCATATCTGATGGCTTGCTACTGCCTACAGTGGTGGTTCTTAAACTACGCACCTGGGGATTTTTGTAGTTCTAAGAACTGTACTAAGGTGATTTGAGCTGCTAAAATCAAGTAATATCAACCAGCTTAATTGGCTGGAACAAAAAAATTAAAGGATAAAGATAACTGCATTTATATTTTACCCATATCTTTTTCTCATATATTTGAGACTTGTTTCTCTACTGAACAGACCTATCAAAATGATTAAACAAATAAACCAATATTAATTCTGAAAGAGTCTTTTAACAATAAGTCATTTTCACCCATGAGGAGAGGGTAGAGGAAAATGTTCTCATTATTTTAATTAGACATTCTATAAATGTCATGGCTTTTTTTCCCCTTAATCCATATGATAGAGATGAATATACACTTAGATAACCAGGCTGGTGTGGCTCAGTGGTTGAGTGTCAACCCATGCACCAAGAGTTCGCCAGTTCGATTCCCGGTCAGGGCACATGCCCAGGTTGTGGGCCCAATCCCCTGTGGGGGTATGCAGGACGTGGTCAATCGATGTAATCTCTCATTGATGTTTCTATCTCGCTCTCCCTTCCTCTCTCACTAATATCAATAAAGAAAAAAAAATGTGTGTATGTATGTGTATATATATATATATATATATATATATATATATGCTTAGATAACCTAGAACCTAACAACTTCTACGTACTCTGCTTCTGAGCCAGAGGACTGCTTACATACTACCCCTCTCTGTAAAGGTTTCGCCACGTTCACCGCCCTCAGAGTCCAATGTTAGCCCAACTCTTCCTGATGCGCCCATCTCTCTATTTCACTTCTTCATTACACACCTATCTCCCGAAAGAGTGAATTCACTGAGGGCAGAGGCAACATACTATTCCCATTTACATCACAAGTGCCTGACACACAGAAGTCGCTCAATAAATACAGACTAGAATAATCAGTGAGTTCAATTATATAAGCGAGCAAGTCTGCCAACTTTACAGCAAAGTCAATAAATTTTCTCTGTTTTCAGTATAATACATAACACATTATAAACATAAAATAAAATAGTTTTAGAAATATTTCACTTCATGCTGCATAAAGACAGCCAAGTGAGATAATAAGTTCAATACAACGAAACTCCATTAAAAACGTGTCAGCGTTGATTTTTAGGAAGTTACAGAGAAACGGGCACTGCTCAGAGCCACGAAGTTAAACTAAGGATCCAGCCAATTCTATAAAATTGAATTATAATTGTGAATAATTTTTCTTCTATGACCAAAAACTGTATAATAAGTATTAAATCCCCCCCCCAAGGCTGTTTCTGGCTCAATGTACATTTTCTCCTTAATTAAAAAAGAACCTGGATGAAGCTCCACAAATATAAGGGCTTAGATATGAAGTACACAACCAAAAACCCAACGGAGTTCAATCATAACTTCATCATTGCAAGTAAAACTCTACAAAAAAAATAAAATAACTGCTGATACAATTTTCACAGTGAAAAGTGCTTAATTCTTTTCATGTCAGCTCTAGACACTAAGTTTTATGAATGCTTATTATATCCTAGTATCTTCTTTTCGTTTTTACACTTTGGAGCCCTCCAGACATTCCCTATCAGCTTATATAATGGCAGGGGTGAATCGCACGGCCAGGAATGGGAACAGCCAGAGGCATGTTAATGCGTGCTAAGTCTTACGGTTCAGATTTGTAGTAAATATCTTACTGCGTCCATCGCACTGTTTATGGCCTGTGGACAATGGATCAGTGGTAATATGCATGGTTGCATTAAAAGTCAGCATTTTAAGATGAAATCTCAAAATACTGTACGAAAGGAAGCAAAGAAGATCTACTTACGGCCAGCAAGCAGGAGCTGATAATACTGTACAGCATCTGCCGCGAGGAGCAGAGGGTGGTTTGCATTAAATGGTGGCTGCAATTCATTCCACTGAGGAGTTCTAAGGAAACAGCAGACGAATATTAATATTTAAGCTTAATAGATGGTATGTGAATCACCATCACTGTCACCACTTACAGACATTGATATAAACTCACACTATCTTTGTAATCATTAAAATGAACTTGTTGGAGTGCTGAAACCTGAAACATAAGGCCATCTGCTTAGAAAGAATAAAAAGGTGGCAGTGAGTTATACAAATTACATCGAGCCAATATTAGTTTAAAGCAGAAGACCCTCCCGCAGGACAGACAGGACATTCAAAATACCGGACAGACAGGAAGCGTGGACTTCAAATGTCACAACTAAGTAGTTCTAATTTTACCTAATTTCTGATCATTGTTAACATTCTCTATTCTTAGAATATGTGTGTATTTTCAAGTAGACTAAAGCAGGTAAAATTGGTTGGGAAAAAGCACAGTTATGTTAATGGTTGACTTATTATAGACTTAATTAGCATCTGAGTTCTAAAATAAGCCACTTATTTCAACAATGATGGTGCAGTAATTTTAATTAGATCTGCCTGCTCATGAATAACTTGATAAATAAGATATTGATCAGATCAATCTAGAGCAGTAAAGTAGTAAAGAATGCTGGAGCCTTCAAAAATCAATATAAGAATATTTTAAAATGTCAAAAGGGAAGGGATCATTTTCATATCCATTTTTGTGTGTTTCCTTCCATACATGTCAGGTCCAATATTTCTGTCTCTCCTGTACCATTCATTGTGCACTATACTGAACAGGTTTTACTCTGGATTTCACTTCTCTATCCTTATTAGCTTATAAAGAATCTAACAATTATGTACTTTTAAGAAGGACTCTGATTCTTAATAAACACTTCTACAGTATTAACTCATATCTTGGGGAATCACTTTAAAGGAAACCTTCCAATCTATTTATGTTCATTTCTATTCCCTTTCATGGTTGCCTCAATGTACTCTCTATTTTCACTGAGCATGAGAATGGAAAAAAAGGGGAAGAACTAAAGCTCTGTATGTGGAAAATTAAAAACAAAAAACAAAACCCAAGTCCTAGAAAATGTAACACAAAATGCAAGGAGAAAAAAGTTCCAAAGGAGGTAATCTCCAGGGCAGCCACCAAAGACAACTGAAAACACGTGCCCATACAAAAATCTGTACACGACTGTTAAGAGCAGCATTATTCATGACAGGTAAAAAGTGGACATGCCCAGCAACTGATAAATGAATAAACAAAATGTGGTATGTCCATGCAATGGAATATTATTCAGACATAAAAAAAGAACAAAGTCCTGATACATGCTACAATGTGGATGGACCTGAGAAACATTATGCTAAGTGAAGGAAGTCAGATGCAAAAGGTTACATTTTGTATGATTCCATTTATATGAAATGTCTTGTGTAAGCTAATCTATGGAGACAGGAAGTAAAATGAGTGACTGTTAATGGGCATGGGGTTTCCTTAGGGGATTAAGAAAACTGACTGGGGCCCTGGCCGGTTTGGCTCAGCGGTTGGAGCGTCGGCCTGCGGTCCAGAGAGACCTGGGTTCGGTTCCCGCTAAGGGCACGTACCTCGGTTGCAGTTTGTCCCCGGCCCTGGTTGGTCGTGCGGGTGGCAGCCACTCAATGTGTCCCTTCACATCGATGTTTCTCTCTCTCTCTCTCTCTTCCTCTCTCTCCCTCCCACTCTGTCTGAACAAAAAAATGGAAAAATGTCCTCCGGTGAGGATTAAAAAAAAAAAAAAAAGAAAGAAAACTGACTGGGGGTTATGAATACAACCTGGTGAAAAGTCACTTTAAATGGGTAGATTGCATTATGTGTAAATTATGTCTCAATTTAAAAAAGGAAACAATTATCAATACATGCCACAACAGGGATGAATCAAAGTAATTCAGCCAGGTGAGAAAGAAGCAAGACAAAAAAAGGGTACACACTCTATGAGTCCATTTATACAAACTTCTAGAAATCATTAAGTAATCTAAGTGACAGAGAGCAGACAGTGGTTGCTTGGGGCTCCACAGGTGAGGCACAGATAAGGAGGGGCAGGAAGAAGAGGTTAAAAAGAGGTACTAGAGCCCTGGCTAGTTTGGCTCAGCTGTTAGTCACCCTTGGACCAAAGGATCTTGGGTTCAATTGTGGTCAGGGGCATGTTGCTGGGCTACAGATTCCACCCCCCCCCCCCGCCCCAGTCAGCCCCATATGGGAGGCAACCAATCGATGTTTTTCTCTCTCTCCCTTCCACTCAATGTTTAAAAAAAAAAAAATCAATAGAAAAATATCTTCAGGTGAGGATTCACACACAAAAAAAGAAGAGGTATCAGACATCTGCAGGTTATGGATATATTTATAATGTTAATTATGGTGATGGTTTCCACTATCACTTGATAGCTATATACCGCTATCAAACCTTATCAAATTGTACACTCTTAAAAGTTTATACCTCAATAAAGCTGTTAGGGAGAAAAATGAAAGTTGTATATTGCTGTTATTTTCTTTTTAATTTTATAAACAAACGAACAAAATAAGAGAATAAAGAAAGGAGGTACTACCTAACCAGAGTCCAGCTGGCTCGAGGTGATGTCATCATTTCCAGTGGGGTGTCATCGCTAATCTTGGGGGCAGTACTAAGCGGTCGCGGCTCGATCATGTGCTCTACTAAGGTCCCGTAGCAGCTAATAATGTAGAGAGATTCAACTACAACTTGTTTGGACTGATCTACAAACAGAAATACAGGTGTTTAACAATGACATACAATGAGCGCGTCATATCTTTTAAAGTTATTGACCTTTTAGTCTGTTTCTGAGGCTGCTGAGAGAAAATAAGAGAGCTGGGATTTTTTTCACATGGTGTCTGCCCCTTGCCTAAAGGTTGCCCCTTATTAATGAACTAATAATTAATATACTAATGAACATAAAAATCTCTGTGCAGTCAAAATATTCTATAAATCTTAAGCAATGTATTTCAAGAATGATATAAATATACCCAAACTTCTAATATAGTGAAACAGTATTTTTCGGTCTTTTGTATTTGTCTGCAATACAATTTGTCCCATATTATGAACAATGCATGCTCTCAGCTGGGGCAGGGAAGGACTGACTGCAAAGGGTCAATGGATGGGCTGATTTAGCAACACCTAACTCAAGTGCATGAGAGCTCTTCGTATGTCCAAATCAGCTCAACTTCTCATCTACTCTCTCTCAGCAAACTTTCTCTTTAGAATTTCTGGATTCAAACAAATAAACAAATGAAAAACACACACATCCTCCTCTCCCAAATCCTCCTTCTTCTTTTCTCTCTGGCCTCCCTGGTGAATGAAGACCAGTCATACTCTGAGGTCAGGTGCTGAATATGGATCTAATCAAATGACTTTATAAGGAGTACACATGTCCTCAGTACCAAAACAGGTCCAGTCCTCTATCTCGGTTTTACGGTAAACCTAGGAGCATATAAAATCAGTCCTGAATGCTGGGTGGGTCACCTTATCTCCGTGCCAGAGGAATTAATTACAGCTGATTTGAGAAAATGGCTAATGACCAGTCAGTGGGACACAAAGGAGTAGCAAGTTAAAAGGGTAATTAGAACAGAAGGGAGAAGCATTTGAAATTGAGCTTCACAGAGGGTTTTAACTAGCAACAAAAAGTCATCTCGATAGCATCAGTAAAGCTAAGGAGGTAACAAAAAAATAAAGATGGGATAAGAAAATGGAAGGCTTGCATACTGTACTGTATCCTCTCCCACTCAGGTAAGGAACCTGCTGTGCCTGAGATCCAATTTCCAAGGAAAGGGGCTCTGAAAGGTGATAACAAGGGAAAGGCTGATGTCTGGCTGCCAGTACTAAGCGCAAAGGAGAGCCATTCTGCCACGAACAATACAGCCTGTGGACCTCTGCAAAGAGGTGCCGCACCAGCACTCAGTTTGTGACCCACTTTAATAAACTAGAATAAGGGGGAACCTTACTCAAAATTAAATACTTGGCCCATGAGTGTAGGAATTCTCTTCTACACAGAATTAATTAGCAATCACATATTAAATAGTAAGTACATAAACATTTTAGGTATGGATCCTGATGCTCAAAAAAGGGATTTTAAAAAACTATATATAGATATATTCAAAGAAGCAATGGTCACCATAGAAGATGACCCTTATTTCTGAGTGGCAGCCTGTTTTTATCTTTTAATTTGTAACATGACAAAGTTGTTGCTGATTTTTCTTTTTGAAGGCAAGACTTTGCATTAGAAAACCCAGTTTTAAACTCTGATACCATCACTTACTACCTAGTGCTTTTAGCTAAGATATTTAAACGTGCTGGTCTCAACTTCATCTCTAAAGTAGAGATAACAAGGTTTTCCTCTCCACACCTCAGAGAAGGTGTGAAATTAGCTCGTCAAAAATATAAAAACTACATACTTATAATGGACTGGAGTTGACAGCATTGAGAACCCCTGTACATCGTCGAACAAAGCAAAATAAAAACACTCCATGGGCAATCTAAGGAGAGCCTTTCTCCTTGATGAGGCTTGAGCAGCTGGGAAGAGACATGCTTAGTGAATGGAAAAATCGGATTCTAAAATGTTGGCTTCAAGATGATTAGAGAACAGCTACGATTTTTCCTCAGGAAACAAACATTACAAATGTCCGGGTTAAGCCTCAGGAGAATACGCACCTTTTTCTCGTTTCAGACCTGCGTTATTTGCAAACCACGACCTGGACGCCCCGAACACTGCAGCCACGCAGAATTCTCCGCCCATCGACTTGCTGGGGGAAATTTGTGGAGGTGACTTAACTTTGCTTAAAAAATAAAATGATAGTAAAAAAAAAGAAAAAAAAATTACCATGAGGAACTCACAGTCCTTGAGATAATGACAACTCTTTCTTAAAATTCCACCACACGTATTCCAACCCTCTAATGTGGACATGCATTTTGCCTTAATAACTGGTGGTGTGAGGCTGTGTTCCATAGTAAAAGTATAAAATTAGTTCAAGGTTCCAGGGCATTATCAGAACAGCAACTTATAAGACCAATAAAAATTAACTCCTTTCTAAAGTATGTGCTGGTGAAATCCAAGTCACTTCTTTTCAGATGGGTAACAATTCCCCAGAGATTTCAAAGGGGAACAACAGAACCAGCATACACATCTCACGATGATAAAATAGTTTACCACTTCGTTTTGATGTATAAGATGTGGGATTGACAACTCAGTTGAATGGAGACAGCACGATGAAAAGAATGAGGTGATGCAGAATGAAACCCTGAAAATGCTCTCAGCCACAGTGCTGAGAGGCAGACAACGTGTGGGAAGATCTAATGACGTAATGCAATTAAATTCACTGATCTTCCTTTTGTTTTCTTCGTAGATTTGTGAAAAGGTCTATTTTTGTTCTGTTTTTCACATGTTTGAGAACACATTAAGTAACTGCTGCTATTTTCAAAACTACCGTTAAAAAGCACTTGCTTTCCTGTTTTCTCCAAATTGGCTTTCATACCATCAACTTCTAATACCAACCTTTCCTCTTCTTTCAAATCCTGTATGTTCGTTCTTTAGATGGGTCAATGGTTTCCCCAGAGCTCACTAGCAGTCTTGCCTTCGATAAACGGCGTTATTTCCTCTGACTCACAGACCAGAAAAGAGGCTCGCTGCACACTGGTCAGGATCGCAGCCCCGCTGGCCAGAGGACGGGGCTGGATGGCCGGCTCTGCCGGTCACTCTCCAGTGTCAAGTAACATTATTTCTACCTTGTGTTGCTCACTATCCTTTCTCTCTTTCTCTTTTAATGAAGTATGGTTGGGTGGAGAAGGATCGGTTTTTGGAGTCAGGAAGAAACCTGAATCTGAATCCCAATGCTACCACTTATTAGCCGTGTGACTTTTGGTTAAATTATTTCACCTCTCAGAGCTCAGACTGCCAGTATATAAAATAAAAATAGTAATGCCTCCCTCATAGGGATCTTTGAAGGATGACTGTGTTTGTTCCCAAAGCGTACTCCCTGGCTAGTAGTACCACCTTGGGACTTCCGAACATGCAGATATTCATCCGGCCACACCCCAGACCTAGAGTCAGACAATTCTGGGGGTGGGGCCTCAAAATGTGCTTATTTTAAGGAGCCCCCAGGACACTCTCGTGCACGCTCGGGTGCAGGAAGCAGCGTCGGTAAAGTGCACAGGCTCCAAGGGCAGTCCTCTCCCTTACCATCATACTCGGCCATGCTACCTCTCTCTTCTACATTAGGCCTCGTTTTTTCAAAATTAGACTTTGCTTCGGTAATCTCAGTTTCCAGGTCCTCATGACACCTGAAACGGCCTCTCTCATATTTTACTGCCAGGCCTTCTGTTTTGCCATCTTTCTGACAGGAAGAGCAGGAAGTCTGGTCCGAGGCCACTGCGATTGGTCTTTTTGGTCTCTGTCTTGCTACCACATCCACGGTACGCACACCGCATACATGAACAGGCCGCCTCTTCCATCAACAGTATTTCTTAAGCACACCATATCATTACCCATTAAGATCGCATCCATGCCTACATACCAACACCAGTCACAATCACAATTCCACTGCCAGGGAATAAAGACATTTTTTTTTAAGTTTCTGTGAGGAAATGAACCTGATCCTACAAACAGTTTCACACAAGTTCAGTTAATTTTTGCACAACTGCAAAGGAGCTACCAACAGAAAAAACGAGCCCCCCCCCCCCCTTCATCCGAACAAAGGTGCACCATCCTGAGCACCGGGCATCAGCACTGTCCTTCCTGGTTAAGATGCTCTGCTTGTACTACATTAAAATGTAAACTCTCCTTCAAAGCCTTTATGTCCATCCCTGAACTACTAGCAGAGAGCTGTTAATTCCTGTTAACCCTTAAAAGCTTAGAGAGGTTGGAGGGGAGAGAGAGAGAGAAAACCCTTTGCAGAATTTTTTGAAAAGTGCCTCCAATTGTGTGACCAGGTGATTTTACTAGAATCACCATCAGGAAACAGTAAGACTGCAACGAACAGACAAGCTTCACAAGGACATAATTCAAAGCTCTTTGCAAATTACTGAATCTTATTTTTGTTTTTTTCAATCATGTGGTAAGCAACAAGGTCGAAAACAAGTGAGCACACCACTTCTTAAGAGCAAGCATGGAGAGTCTAGAGTATGCGTCCTAAACAGACTGAAAAACAGCTGCTCCTGTGCAGAGAGCGCCCTCTATAACAACAATAAAGAGGAGGGATATGACAGGACATCAGTTTACTCTCTGGCCATGCAAAAATATATTCTGTATGTTTATTAGCTTACAGTCTAATCAGCCAATGTCAAAAGCTAAAACCTCATATGCTTCTTTGATGTTGCATATAACTCAGCTTCTGAGCACACAATTAAAAAGCATCAAAACAGTATCGTTTTACATAAACTCCTTATCTCCTGCAGAGAATATATAATTTATGGTAAAAGTATGCTTAAAATTATGTAATTATCATTTTTATTCCTATTCCTCAGATGGGGCCTTAATAAATCACACTAGTAAAAAACGTTTGTGTTCAATATGTAGTAAAAGGAGTTTTCATCCCTGAAAATAACTTGCTACCTCCTACGTGACATAATGCTGTGAGTTAGGTACGGGAGCATAGCTGATGAACATATTCATAACAAGGTATCTCTATCATCAGCCTATATTTTGGAAGGAATATGGTAGTTAAGCAAAATAGAACATAAACATATGTGCGTGTATAGATGAGACTTCTAGAAAAAATATAAAGGAGAAATTATCTAAAGATTACTATTAATAAAGTCTTTTCTATGTAAGATAACCAATGGAAGAAAATTTAACTTGGACTCAACTTGTCCTTCATCCAAAGTTTTAAAAAGACCAAGTCAAGGAATGTGGGGTGGAAGCGAAATTGAACTTCTCCGCAATGACCCAGAATGTATCTATTGCAAAAAAAAAAGTTTGTTAGCAGAAAGATAAAACACTGAAAAATGACATGTATGTGAAAGAAATAAAAGTGAAGAGAGCTAGCCTTGTAAATCTTGTTCACCTGTAGACTGGAAAGCATTCCAATGCTAGCCCTTTTTTTCTTTCTTCCTCTCAACATCTCCATTTATCCTCTGAAAGGGACTTCATAAATCCCATCACAAAACACGTGCAAGTTTAAACAAAAACAACCTCTGGGTATTTGGAGGCCTTCTCTCGTTTATTTATTATTTTATTAAATTAGGAATATGATATAAAAAATGAAATGTCAATGTATATGGGTGTCCAGAGTTCAACTGTGCTGACTGTGGTTACACAGGAGAAGGAAACATACTAACAGTGCTGATGGACTCCTTCCTACTGAGAACTCATGCTCTTTACTCCCTGGAGCCCATCATAAATGACCCTACGTTCAAAAAGAAAAACAAATATTTGGCTTAACTGTGTGCAAAACGCAAAAGAAAAATGAAGTGAACTCAACTGTCACCATATCAGGCAAAATAATGATCATTAAGACATTGTAATTACTAACCTTGACACACAATAGCAACAAAATCAAAAGTAAAAGAAACAAAACAAATAAGTTGTTAAATTAAAACCCAGGAGTTTAACTTCTTGTCATCTCTTCTAGGAGACTTGACCGGCTAGTCATACAATGGGAGTCATTTTTACTGCCATCAGGAGTTCTGAGGACATTACCATTACAACATCTTGAAAATTATTTACAAAGACTATTGAAGTTAACCATGGGCTTTTACTGTATTGTGTAATCCAATCAGATTAACATACTGAATTTCTCTTGCATGTTTTTTTCCTCCAACATTACTGCAAAGAGAAAACCAAAAACGAGTAAAACTCTATTGATACCTGCTTTAAAATTACAGTAAAATGATGCCCGTGTGGATAACTTCGCCGAGCAGTACAGAACAGGGCAGAAGCCGTGCCTCTGTGGATGGCACGAAGAGCAGCAGAGGTCTGCTGCCTCGTTCAGGACACCAGCATGAAGAGGGCTAAACGGAGACAGAAGCACCGTTTCTTTCCTTTTCTAAAACATAAGGGCACAGTCAATATTTCAGCTGAAAGGCTAGATACAACACTGATGTAAGAATTACACGTGGCATCATGTCTTTGTGATAAAGAAGTCATTTTCCTTCTATTCCTCACTGTGATTAAGCTTCAAAAGGAATTTAGAAGTTTTCTCTCACTTTCAACTTCATTTCTCTAAAAGAAGAACTAAGAGGAAAACTGAAAGTATTTTAAAGATAGTAATACTATATCTAAAATTATTCTATCACAAATTGTTCTTAAAGAGCTAACAGATTTATGTGAATGTTGCAGATAAAAGATTCTCTTCTCCATATAAATCTTTCCTTCCAATAATGAAATTATATTTTTAATATTCTCTAAAGAACAAAATAGTTTAAAGGATTTATATAAAGATCAAATGAACATTCTCAGATAATGCTAATTAAAACTTTAAATATAAGTTGATATGTAAGTTTTAATTTTTCTTTAAAATTCAGCTTATATAATACAAACACAGGTTATATGTAACGGAGATATTCAAATGGACTACCTTTTGTCCACACTCTGCTGTGTGAGTGTGTGTGTGTGTGTGTGTGTGTGTGTGTGTTTTCTTTTGATTAGCAATTCAAAAATAGCAGGAGCTTAGACACAATACTCCATGCGCATTAGGTGCTCAATAAATGTTACTTGTAATATTGAAAGCAAAATTCATAGTGGTATGTCTCTTAAAATTTCTGTATTAAAAAGTCTGTCCTGTGATTATTTTACTTTATGTTACACAGTCATTGAAACTCAAATAGTCTAGAGGACACACAGCCCTTGATCAGATGGGACAGCTGCAACGCCGAAGATGCCCACACAGTGCCGTTTCCAGCAGTTTGCTTTGTTATCAAAAGGAAAGACATTCTTTCCACCTGACTCACCTGCAACTGCATGAACTTCAACAATTAAACCAGTTTATCATGGAATGAAAAATCAGTAGATGTTGTGATCTATCCAAAGCAAAATCTTAAATATAAATGTTGCCACTTGACTATAATAAAAATTTTGTATGAAATGTAACATTTTTAAGAGCAACTGTAAAAATTTCATATTCTTCTAAAAGACAAATATGACCCTACAACTGGAAGTGCTATAAACATTTAGTTAGCATGTTTTCTTTCAGAACAGTAAATAGAATATTCTCAAGTTGCATGCTAAATATCATGGAAAAATAGTAAAAAACCGTTAAAACAAAGAAGCTCTTATAAACAACATGGAAGTTGTCAAATTTATATTCGTTTTGCTGCCTTAATTTGAGGTTTCATTAAGACCTTAATGGGAAAAACATGCACCCTCGCGAAGGCACGCATGTGAACGGAGGGTCTTGTAGGCTAGCGTAAGTGACTAAAAACGACTTTCTTGTGAGCTAACGATGGCATCAAACAAACCACAAAGCAGTCTTCTAAAAGACAGGCAATGATTTAAAAGTCTACTATATTTCATATATCCCTTTCTTTAATCTGGCTCTTTTAATCTTGTTTCAACCTCAAATCATTTCTGGTTGACAAGTGCTTTTGCTTAAATTTGAGGAGCACATAAGCTGTTGAAGGAATGGACTTTTCTTATTTAACATACAACATTTGTTACTCCGTCTTTACTTCTATGCTAAAACTTCAATCTTTATTAACATGCTAAAACTCTTTTCTTTGTACTTAGAATGAGACATTTATCTTAAGATGGAATTTAATTCTAAGTTTAGTCTGCAAAGACATTTTGTCATATGTTGAATCTGGCATTTAAAAATCGACTGCTCACTGTGAGCTCCTAAGTAAGATTCATGTATCTTATTTGTTTTTTTTTGAAGAAATCTCTTTAACAAAAAGGATGAAGATGGACTTTCACGGAATTTTCATTCATTTATGACCTGAATTTGTTTACAATTGTTTCAAGATCTGTGTCCTAATTTTGATGCTACATTTCACGAAGGAAATTTTTATCTTTGTCACCCTATTCTTATCTATTAATGAAATTTTCAGATGTTCCTGTGGCATATGAACACTGAAATTAGCTTGTGTCTAATTATACTGTACCTTAAAGTGGTAGTTAAGCTTCCTTTTGTCCAATAAGAGAAAATTTTTTGAAAGATTTTTTTTCTAATGTAATGAGACAATATGAACACCTCCCAGTAGCAGTTATGAGAAATATATAAATATATATATATATGCAGAACTCCTTTAAGTATTCTGAGTAAATCTATAAAATGGATATAACTTACATTGCCCAAAACTTCCTTTTGCCTCACTTACTCTTAAAAGCAAAAAGCAAAAAAAAAAAAAAATCTGATTTAAAGTGTCTTTTCAAAAATGATATTTTCCCTTCAAATAAGGAAGAGAATGATAATAGTAGCAGCTAACATTTATTGAGCTCTTACTGAGTTCTTACTTGTTCTAAGCAATTTACATTGGCAGTTCACTTAATCTTCACAATGAACCTATGGGGTAGGTGCTACTGGTAACTCCATTAACAGAAAAGAAAACCAAGACACAAAAAGGTTTCGGAACATCACCCAAGCTCACGTCAGTAGAAAGTGCACGAGCTGAGGTTTAAGATCTAGCAGTCTGACTCGGGAGCCCTGACTTTTAACCATTATGTTAAGCACAGTATTCCAGGTTCTAAACACATCCTACTTTACCTCTTTTTATCAAGTGTTCATCGTGTCTAAGACTAGGTTGTAGTTTATGCATTGTTGTGTAAGAATTTTCCAAAGTAAGTAAGTTATGGTAAGTAGGGGCTATGAACTCAAAATAATAAATTATTTAGGAGTTTTCATATGAAACACAAACTTCCTCATTTTGTAGCTCCTTAAACACCAAGAGTACTCAGACCCGAAGTGACTCTTGTTCCTTTGGTACCAAATAAAATGCAGTAAAACTGTATAAGGTATTTTTAGCATACTTTAAATATATTTATATTTCAAAATAAATCATGTCTTCCAATGTTCAGCATGATATGTAGGGAGCTTCTATGACTATAATACTCAAAGCCTTGAACTTGGGTGTTAGTCTTGCCTCATACACTGGCATTATGAGAGAACTCTTCCTATTTTTCTTTCATATCAATTTGTGATTTTTTAAAATTAGACTTAACAAGAACTGAAGTAACCCAAGAAAACTGTTCTTTTAAAGCGTAAACATCAATATCTGTGTCCCATCTCCAGATTATTCAGTACTTCGGTGCATCTCTGTGACCAGGCCATGCAACTGGAAACAACAGTACAGAACAGGTCTTTTCCGAGAACAACAAATGAAGTAGGCATGCGGGACTGAACTGGGACTCACCATGGAGCTTTTATGGAAAAACACCCCGCTCCAAACAGATAAGGCCTTCGTGGAAAAGGGGGGAAAATGCACAACAAATTAGAGGAAAACTCATTTAACATTAACAAATACATGTATATCATACTGTTATCGAGTATGGATCAAATAACTGAAAAAAAATTAGTAATCACTGGTAATTCTGCTGAAGAAACTAGTGAGCCTGATAGAACCCATGAGAATGATGTGTAGTAGCACGCCCGTTCATTTTCATAGGCTTAGAGATTTCAAAATGTTCTGTTTCTCCCCCTTTTCTGGAGCAACCCTGTAGGGTTCCAAGGTAAAATAAATGTCACTTCTGAAATCCTTTAAAAGAAAGTACAAGTTAAATGGAATAATCGAATGGAGAAAGGAGTGGGATCAGTAGCAACAGATGTGTGGTTGTGTGACACATGTTTAAAACGAGCTAAAGATAACAATAAACAATTCTGTACGCATTGTCCACTCTTCACAGGTTGCCGTCTCAGAGCCACTGAAAGGAGGCGCCTATTTCTAAGCTGCTAATTTCTAATAACTTGAACTGCATATTGCTGGTCAAAGGAACAAACACTAAATACAAGTAGCATGATTTATTT